TGGAAAATATGTGACGTCATTATGTTGTGGCTCATTGCAGTCACTAATGCAGGGATAAATAGACCTGTCTTGCCAAATGGATTTCTCTTCTTTTCTTTTTTTAACAGATTGCAAAGTGGCACTTTTATTTCTTTTCTATTTTTGAGGCACTTTTATTTTCTCTATTTTTGAATTTCATGCAAGTTATGACACAAATGCACTTCATTTTCTTTATTTTTGAACTTGCTGTTATTTGATGTAGATATATAGTTAGTTTGTATTTAGATACAACTTGTTACTATACTGATACTACTTGTTACTTCAATAAATTGGAACATTTTAAGCTTGTTACGTATTTCATTAGCATTGTGTCGGGGCGATGGGGGCAGGTGGGGCTTGAAAATTCCCCCTTGTCCAAAGTGGGGAATGACCGAAAAAGTTTGAGAACCACTGCCCTAATCAAACACACCTGATTCAACTCATCAGATCATTATCACATATATCCCCATGTGATAATGATCTGATGAGTTGAATCAGGTGTGTTTGATTAGGGAGACAAAGAAAACGTGCAGTGTTGGGGGTCCTCCAGGACAGGTTTGAGAACCACTGACTTAAACTACTTTAATGCAGTCATTTGACTGTCATAAAAATAGACATGTTGATCTGTCTTTTCAAAAAACTATTTCTTTATCAATGCAGAATAATTCGCCTTTGGCTAAGCCACACCCTAGAATGTAGATTGACCAATCACAGCGCAGCCACGAACGAGCTCCCACTGAGGTCCGACACTTTTTCACAGCGCTCCATTGACTTTAACACAGGCGTCTCATATTTTTGGTCTCGGCCGGCTATTACCGTCGTAGTTTTATCAAAAATATGGTTAAACGTTGTGTCTGGGGCATTTGTAACACAGATACGCATTTCCCAGAGAGGTTGGAGGGGGGTGTCAGTTTTTTTCCCTTCCCAAACCGAAGTCAAATCCTGACAAGTGTCGTCTAGCACACGCTGCTAATAAATACAACGTTATACTCACGTAGTCCGTTTGCTTTGTAATAGCGATTATAGAAGTGAATAGAGACCTACCCAGCTTTGCATGAACAGTGTTGCTCCTTGATATGGTTAGTCCCAGCCTGCGTCTCGATTACCTGTATGTCGGTAATATAGCCTTCGAACGTATATTGCAGCCCCTTTTGCCTACTTCTATCGGACACTTTATTTGCTGCTTTATAAAAGTTTGATAAAATTTCAGCAGGAAGAGCTGTCACAGCATAAGCCATGTTGATACCAGAGCCCAGATGAAGTTTGTTTGTCGGACGTAGCAACAGTAACTAAGAGGGGCGGGGCTTAGCCAAAGGCGAATTTCCTGAATATACCTGCAATTGCTGAAAGAGAAATAAACTAATAAAAGTCAGGGGACAAGAGCCCAACTAAAGCATAAACTGATCACCATAATGGTGACTTCAAACGAAACCATTTCTGTCACAATGATGAGTCTCAAAATCCAAGTGCAAGTGAAACAGTTTATTGACGACGGAACAGACAGGGAAACTCAAAACACCACGTTTACAGGCGGGCGACCTGGAAGACACAACACAAGAGGAGAGGAACTGGACTGGAGATCAGCAAGGACACAGGGCAGCGACAGGAACAATCTCCCGGATGATCCCTCAGCAAACTGGATGTTCCGTGGAAAACAGGAAGAGCCCGCAAGGAACTAGGACACAGGTACTGGGTGACAGAATACAAAAACATGAACAACGAACCGACACCCTGCATGAAAACCTCCAGCTAGATAAAGGCTGCTAACAAGTAGTAGATTAGTTGCAGCTGACGGCAGTTAGCGTAATCAGCCGGTGCTAAGCAACAAACAAGCACTACACACACACACACAACCCCACACCCAAAAACACACCAACAGATATACAAAACGAACACATGGATCGATGAACCGTGACAGTACCCCCTCCCCTAAGAGTGCCTCCTGGCACTCCCAAGAGAGCCTACCTGACGATTGTAATCATCGATAAGGGAGTGATCCAGTATGTCCCTAGCAGGAACCCAACTCCTCTCCTCCGGACCGTAACCCTCCCAGTCCACCAGGTACTGGAATCCGCGTCCCCTCCGTCTCGAGTCCAGAATACGATTAACCGAATACGTAGGCTCCCCGTCTACGAGTCGCGGCGGTGGGGGAACCGGAACCGGCGGATTAAGGTTAGAACGAAAAACAGGTTTCAATTTGGAGACATGATAGGCGGGGTGAATTCTCCTGTACGCTGGAGGAAGTTTGAGACGGACAGTCACCGGACTAATGACTTTGGTGACCGTGAACGGGCCGATAAATTTAGGAGCTAGCTTATTAGACACGGAACGGAGCGGAATATTCTTAATAGAAAGTCACACTTTTTGACCCACAACGTACACGGGAGGCTTTGACCGGTGGCGATCGGCATTAGCCTTAGTGCGCGCCCCCACCTGGAGCAGAGTCTCTCGGGCCCTGGTCCATGTGCGGTGGCACCTCTGGACGAAGGCGTGAGCAGAGGGGACCGCGACTTCAGATTCCAGACTGGGAAAAATAGGTGGCTGGTACCCTACGCTACACTCAAAAGGAGATAGGCCCGTGGATGACACTGGTAACGAGTTATGTGCGTACTCAACCCATGAGAGTTTTTGGCTCCAGGAGGAAGGATTCTGAGAAACCAAACATCGCAACACTCTCTCTAAGTCTTGGTTGGCACGCTCGGTCTGCCCGTTGCTCTGAGGATGAAACCCAGAAGAAAGACTGACACGCGCCCCCAATAAACGACAAAACTCTCTCCAAAATTTGGAAATAAATTGGGGACCCCTGTCAGATACCACGTCCATCGGGAGGCCATGTAACAGAAAGACGTGATCTATAACAGCAACCGCTGTCTCCTTGGCAGATGGTAATTTGGGCAAGGGAATGAAATGAGCCGCCTTCGAGAACCGGTCCACTACGGTCAAAACGACCGTCTTGCCCTGGGAGGGCGGGAGGGCAGTGACAAAATCTAGCGCGATGTGGGACCAAGGTCTCAAAGGGACAGACAGCGGTTGGAGTAACCCATCCGGTGGGCGATTGGAAGTCTTACCACGAGCACAGACCGAACATGCCAATACAAAACTCCGAATGTCGCGAGCCATAGAGGACCACCAGAATCGTTGCCTGACCAAAAAACTGGTGCGATTAACTCCTGGGTGACATGCTACGTTGGAACAATGACCCCACCGAATTACGTCGGACCTTGACCCCTCCGGTACAAATAAACGACTCGGTGGACAACCGGGCGGAGGCGTTACCCCTTCTAAGGCCGTAAGGACCTTCGACTCGATCTCCCAAACGAGTGTGGAGATGAATAGAGTCTCCGGTAAAATGCACTCGGGAGTAGACGGGCGTTCGGAAGGATCAAAAATGCGCGATAAAGAATCGGGTTTGATGTTTGTAGAACCCGGGCGGTACGAGAGAGTAAAATCAAAACGACCGAAAAGAAGTGCCCACCGAGCCTGCCTGGAGTTGAGTCGTTTTGCTGATCTGATATATTCAAGGTTCTTATGATCAGTCCAGACAATAAAGGGTACCCCTGAACCCTCTAACCAATGACGCCATTGCTCCAACGCTAGCTTGACTGCCAGCAACTCTCTGTTACCTATGTCATAATTACATTCCGCAGGAGACAAACGATGAGAAAAAAACGCGCAAGGGTGTACCTTGTCATCCGCGGGAGAGCGCTGGGAAAGAACCGCTCCTACCCCCACTTCTGACGCGTCGACCTCCACCACAAACTGACGTGAAGGATCAGGGGCTATAAGAATGGGAGCTGAAACAAAGCGGCTCTTGAGGTTGGTAAATGCAGCTTCAGCTACACCACACCACCTGAACGTCGTCTTGGAGGAGGTCAAGGCAGTCAGATGAGTAGCAGAAAAAGAGGATTTAGTCAGTGTAGATCCACCCGTCAGTAACCTCTTACCTACTGGCGGGCGCTGGATTTTACCGAACATTGGAGGGCAATGTGGCCAACGGCTCCACAGTACAAGCACAATCCCTTCTCAATCCACGACCCGTGGCCGTCGCCTGTTCCTCCTGTTGTTGCATGCGCACCTCACTCTTCGATAGAATCTCCGTCAATTCGGCCACACTTGCTGGATCCATCTTGGTCGGTTCGTTCTGTCACAATGATGAGTCTCAAAATCCAAGTGCAAGTGAAACAGTTTATTGACGACGGAACAGACAGGGAAACTCAAAACACCACGTTTACAGGCGGGCGACCTGGAAGACACAACACAAGAGGAGAGGAACTGGACTGGAGATCAGCAAGGACACAGGGCAGCGACAGGAACAATCTCCCGGATGATCCCTCAGCAAACTGGATGTTCCGTGGAAAACAGGAAGAGCCCGCAACAAACTAGGACACAGGTACTGGGTGACAGAATACAAAAACATGAACAACGAACCGACACCCTGCATGAAAACCTCCAGCAAGATAAAGGCAGCTAACAAGTAGTAGATTAGTTGCAGCTGACGGCAGTTAGCGTAATCAGCCGGTGCTAAGCAACAAACAAGCACTACACACACACACACACACAACCCCACACCCAAAAACACACCAACAGATATACAAAACGAACACATGGATCGATGAACCGTGACAGTTTCAACCAAACATCAACATCCAAAACTTAATTCTCAACAACAACTTCGTAAGTCAGTCGTAATACGTGAAACTGGAAATGCTGTTTGTGGAGTTGTTTATTCCTCCTCTGCTGAGATCTTCAGAGATTGAATGTCTTCTTTTATCTTCAGTTGATTTCATCTTAGGCTGTGGCTGAAGAAAGTTTCTCTTCTTGTTGTTTCTCTTTCCTTTAGTGTTTCTGCTTGTTCACAGCAGGTTTAAATGTTTGAAAGAATGTTTCAGGAACATTATACTAAAAGTTCCTCTAACATCAAGAAAACTGGGCGTTTGAATGTTTCCATAACCAAAAATTGGTTAGCTGGGTACCAATGGGTTTCATTGTATTTTACAACCACTTGTATCATCTTGTCTTTTAAAGATGTTTTGTCTGGTGTAGTGCTTCCCTCCATTTCTCTGCACCATTTCATCAATCTTCTGCAGCAGTTCAGTAACCTGACCTTGATTGCTTCTGTCTTTGTTGTTTAATGTGTGATATCTGCCACCACAGCTGTCAATCACTGATTTAAGGTCCTTGTTTTTTCTATCAGTGCATTCAGCCAATCAGCATGAGTGACAAGAATAATTGTGTGATTTAAAGCATCTTTTTCAAGGTTCTCCTGAAACCATTTAGCCGGGTTCTTCTCCTCCCTTGATAATCCTTCCATTCCGATCACCAGCAGAAACACGTGAGGACCAGGATCAGACATTTCTAAGCTTTTCTCAACATCAGACTTATAATGATGATTACGAGTGTGCCTGAAAAGGTCTATCAGTCCTGGAGTGTCAGTGATTGAGACCATTCTTCCAAACACCACTGCTGCTTGTTTCTCACAGCTCCTAGTGGTTGTCCTTAAACTTGCTCTGAACACATCTCTGCCCAGGATGGTGTTCCCAGTTGAACTCTTCCCTGCTCCAAGAAAACCCAGCAGCACAATCCTCAGATCTGTTAAAGTAAGAAGGATATATGAGGTTATTAAGAATTTTATTGTTGATAAGATACTTAACTGATTAATTGAGTGATGATTGTTTGACTATTGAAGACACCTGATGATAACGAGCAGAATCACTGAAGAAAGAAACACAAAAACTACAACTGACTTTCAACCACAGCCTTTGGATACATTTACATGACAACGATATGCTTAAAACTGAGAAGTTTTTCTTTTGAGTTTTCCGCGTACAGATGACATCGTTGTCAAAACGATCCCCATTCACACGGATCTGAAAAAAACGACTAAAAACTACTAAAAACGCTGTATTCTGCTGCCAGGCCATTAGATGGCGATGAAACGCAATAGACTGAACATGTAACATGCATGTGAATGACATCATCATCTTTAGAGATTCACATTTTTGTTGTTTACACGGAGACCGTTTTCAAAAACTTGCACTTTGAAACCAGTTTTCAAATGTTTGCATTTCAGGCACCCAAAACGCTGTTGTTGTGTAAATGAACGACCAAAACACATACATAGTTTTACGTTTTTAGTTGAAAACGGTGTCGTGTAAACAGCCCCTTAGATTAAATCAACTGAAAATACCCAGGGGGCAATGGGGGTTTAGCAGTCACAGGCTGCTGTAAAAGGTTGTCATATAAAAATGAAATCTATGATGTCTGAGGATCACAACCTGGGTGGACAACCCGGTCAACAATCTGCTGGAAACTTTTAATTAGGGTCAAAACAATGCTACCTCAAATTGCCTTGATTGTACATGCAATTAGAATGTACAATCAAGGCATCAACTGACAGCTTATCTTCCACTCTTTTGAAAGGTGTGCTCAGTTTGTTTCTAGCATAAAGTATCAGGGAGATATGGCTCAGGATTCATGAATATAATTAAACCTTTTTAGCATGTTTGGGTGATTCCGGGGAGTTAAAGCAGGATCTGAGGTAGCATTGTTTTGACCCTAATTACAAGTTTCCAGTAGATTGTTGACCGGGTTGTCCACCCAGGTTGTGATCCTCAGACATCATAGATTTCATTTTTATATGACAACCTTTTACAGCAGCCCATGTCTGATTTCCTAAAAAAGCAGGTGTTTTGTCCTCTGGGTAAAATACATTAAATCTCTCTTATTACAAACCAGACTGACTTTATTTCTGTCAGACGTCTACAGAAGGTCTTATAGAGAATTAACAGCGGTTTAGATGTTGATGTTTTATTGAAAATGTTACCATTATGGTGATCAGTGTTTCCTTTAGTTGCTTTTCATTTCAGTTTCTGTTTTCTGGCTCCCATGTGATTTACGAATGCCTGTCTTCAGCTAATACATGTAACACATGCAGAACCACAAGAAAATATCTGATATGTGTGGAATCCAAATACAAACGTTTTGATATTTACCTTGTCTTGACAGATTGCTGTGTGCCATTGCTCTCGCTAGTGACAGCCTCAGAGCCATTTTACTTAACTCAAGTCTCATCATGAGGTTCATGAGTTCATCTGTTTCTTTACGCAGTTCATCTAAGTCACTTTCTGTGTCCTCTTTACTATTGTCTTGTCTCGGCTCCTCTTGTTTCTTCTTTCTCTTCTCATTGGCGTAATGATCTCCTCTGTTGTCCTTCACCAGTTGTTCAATCTTCTCCAGCAGCTCTGTGGCCTGATTTTGATTGCTTCTGTCTTGATTGTTGAATGAGTAAAATTTGCCACCACAGTTGTCAATCACTAACTGTAGATCAGGGCTTTTCCTGATATACTGATCCAGTGATTCACCCATTAGCAAATCCACATGAGTGAACAGAACAAAAGTGTGATGTACAGCTTCTTCTCCAAACTTCTCCTGAATCCATTTCACTGTGTTCTTCTCACTCTCTGTGTATCTGCCATTCAATCTGATGACCAGCAGAAACACATGAGGACCGGGAGCAGACATTTGTGACCGATCACGGAAACTAGGGACACAAGTCGGTTCTTCGGCATTTTGAGTTATTCATAGATTCTGAAAGTGTAGTCTCCAAGCTTTCCAACGATGTGTAACACGTGGAAATCTGATAATATTTGGAGAAGTTGTGGCCATTTGAAGGTAGGAACTCAAAAAAGGTAAAATGGGAGAAAACGGCCTCAAAAGATTGTGCATTCTCACCTCTCTCTCCTGCTGGGAGTGACAATAGGGCTCATTTACATCTCATTTAGATAAGCCATACCCCCTGTAAAGCTCCCCCTGTGCTTTACAGCTTTTTTTTCTTTCCTGAGCTAGCTAATAACAATAGGTAGGTATGGGAAGGTCTAAACAGACTAAACATGAGATAACATGTACGTGTTCTTAGAATTAAAACAAAACGACAAACTTTAATGCTTAATGCAAACTCACCCCCAGGACCGGCGAATGCACTTCTGCCGCTCTAGGCGAAAAACAATTGTGCTGCCCCTCTATTTGCAACGTTTACCAGCAACAACACACAAAGACCAATATGCCATATACATATAACGCAAAACCAGCAACAACACACAAAGACCAATAAGCCATAGGCCTACATATAACGCAAATAGTGCGCAACGCGCGTGTGCCCAAAATGTCAACAATATTAAAGTTTATGCAGGAGGTAAATGCCTGCTGGCATTTTTCTTTAAGCAGTCATGACAGGAATTTTCCAAATAATCATATTTCCTCCTCAGATTACTGTTGCAAATCTCTTTACACCACTTTCTTATGTGCGTATACACACACAAATGAAATGTCCGCAAGCACATTATATCATCAGCAGGTTCAGCATCTTAAATAACGACTAGAGAGCAAATGAAGCTTAACTTACGTTTCAGAAACGCGCACGGCAGGCCTTCATCGCAGCAAAGGTCTTAACTGCATCCTCTATTTCGATTCTCTGTGCCAGTTCATGTTCTATGGAGATTGTTGCCAGTCCATTAAGTCTGTTCCCTGTTCACAAAACGTTCCCCATTCAAAGCAATCGGGACATCACATATGAAACAGTTAGCCACCGCTGTCAGCGAGCCGAGCCGCCGTATTCAAGCACCGAGGGCGCGCGCGCCGCGCCCATACCTCCGGTTCAGTTTCCCGAGCCCACAAAGTGCGGCGAAAACATTTTCGGTGTAACTGCCACGCTTCAGCTCGTCTGCGACAATCTTTGCGGCGTCCATCTTCATTGAATTTTGATATCAGATAGAGCCGGCCAGAGCGCTGCATATTAAGTAGCCACGCTGTTGGGGGGCGGGGGCAAAAGCGCCGGCGGCTATTCAGTATGGAAATACACACAGACAATGACACGCCCCTACTGCATGCTAGAATCTCCGAAAAACAAGCCGATTTCAACCTCAAAATGTACGCTTTTAAATATACCAATACTGTTATCTCAAACATGTAGAGGCTTCTTCATGATCTCAACTAACAGATTCTGCAAAAAAGCGGAAATCACCAATTTTGGAAAAAAACGCTTCTTTCTCATTTTGCTCGCAAGTTGTGCTGCCGACTTGTGTCCCTGGTTTCCGTGACGGGTCACATTTCTAAACATTCCTCAATATCACGCTTGAGTTCATGCTGAAAGATATTGTACCACGGCGCATCTAACAGTCCTGGAGTGTCAGTAATTGAGATGGATCTTCCAGACACCAACGCTTCTCTTTTCTCACAGGTAAAAGTATCACAATGAGCCTCCGCTCTAAACACATCTCTGCCCAGGATGGTGTTTACTGTTGCAGTCTTTCCCACATCGGATTTACCCAGAATCACAATCCTTAGATCTGCTAAAATTAAATGAATATATGCTTTTGTTTACACACTGAAAGTTCAACAGTATTCAACAAAATTCAATCATATTTGATAAGACCTCTAAATTATCAACATCAAAACTGAAAAGCTCAGTTGGTTAAAGTACACTCACACTTGGAAAGCATTTCAACAGCTCACTGACCATGAAGTCTTTAGATATTTAATCTACAAATGAAGGCTTTTGGTTGCTCTCCTTAATTTACTGGGTAAACATGTTATGTATTTTTGAAAACATGAAAATGTTGGGAATAAAACCACAAATGGTTCAATATTTACCTAGTCTTGAATGTCCAGGTGTCATTCCTCTTTCAAGTGCCCATCTTTGTCTTTCGTTTTCTCTGCGACTTTCCATCTGTTTCCTGAGATCTTCCTTCACTCTTAGATATTGCGCTCTCTCCTTCACATCCTCTTTTTTCCTCTCATTATGGTCTTTTATTCTCTCTTCTTTGCTTTTAGTTTTTATTTCCTCCTCTTGATTTACCCCTTCTATTTGCTTTTTTGCATCTCTTTTCTCATGTCTTGTCCACGCCTGTTCTTGTTTATTTGTCTCTTCTTCTTGTTTATGACTCTTTTCTTCATACTTCACTCTCTCCTTCTGCTCTCTGAGTTTTCTCAGATCCTTCAGGTAGATCTCATTGCTGAAGGTTTGTCCTCCATTGTGCATCATTACATCAATATTCTTCAGGAGCTTTGTGATCTGGCTGGGATCACACTCATTTTTGCTGTTCATCACATGAAATCTTCCCTCAAAATAGTTCAGCAACTCTTTGATATTTTCACTCTCAGTGATTTGCTTAAATTTTCCTCTGGATATTGTTTCTCGTCCAATAAACAGCACCATAGTGAACGTCAAAGCTTGAGCTCCAAAGTTCTCCTGAATTTGCTCCACAATGTTCCTCTGCTCCTTCTCAAAGTTCTCCAGGTTGATGACGAGCAGGAAGACGTGAGGACCAGGATCAGAGAGATCCAGACTCTTCATCATCTGCTTCTTCATCTCTTCGTCAGTCAGTTGAGTGTTGAAGAATCCTGGAGTGTCGATGATGGAGATGTTTCTGTCTTCTACTCTTCCTCTCTGTATCTCACTCTCTCTGGTTCTGCTCTCTTTAAATGCCTCTCGACCCAGTATTGCATTTCCAGTTGAACTCTTTCTAACTCCAGAGACTCCAGTTAACACAATCCTCAGATCATGTGAATCAGGTGCTTCATCAGCGTCTGTGAAACAGGCATTAGCACCTTAATTAACTGATGCTTTTCTTGCGACTGATTTTTTTTCAGAATTTTTCATGTTTAATTAAAGAAAAAGATTAAGTTAATTCCAAACATTGAATTATTGCAAACAGTTGCTCCCGTAAAGCAGTCTGCCAGTCTGCCAGTCTGCGGTATTGTGTATCCTCTCACCAGACTTATGCAGTCTCAGAACAGTCGTTTAGGGGCAGTGAAAGAAGCCATTTGGTTTATTAGATGTCATTGTGCCATCAGAATAATTGAAACTGATATTTCAAGGTAAAACACAAATATACAGCTTTAAATGCCATTAAGGAATATCCTGGGTTCAATACAAGTTAACTCTTTCCCTGCCATTGACGGAAATGTCCGGCTTTCCGTATTTTCCTTTTATACGGTAGAGGGCGCTATTACACATCTTCTGAAAGAGTAGATAAAATCCTGATCAAAACAGATCAAAACACAGGTGAAGACAACGCTATCTCATGATCTATTCATATTTTACGAGGTGGCCAATTCGTACGAATTCGTATGACCTCACTCGTACGAATTTGTGCGATTTGTCTGACTCGCAGTGATGGGTGGGTTTAGGGGCGGGGTCAGGGGTAGGTCATTCGTAGGAATTCATACGAATACAATATAGTATGCATATATATAAAATATATCAAACTTAGCAAAAAAATGTACAAATTGGTTGTAGGAATTCATATAAATTAGGCACCCGAAATTGCCGTGAGATCGGGTTGATGAAGAAGAGGAAGCAGAAACAAGCAATCTCAATCTCAAAGTAATCCTTTTCATTTTCATATAACGAGATCATCAATAATAAACAGCATATAAATCAAAAGCGCCAAATGTTACTGTCGACCCAGGACGAGCTGTAGGAGCATTAGGGGTGTTGATGGACTCAATCCATCTGTGTTTCGACCATGATCCAGTCTTTTGCTCAGCGTTTTGCTCAAAATGTTGCTTTTTTATTTTGAAACTTGTACACAAGTTTAAAAAGAATGCATAAAGCTAGAATAAAATGTTGTATGGGTTTGTGTTTCGGTTTTTTAAAGCAGATGCTCTTCTCTTTCTTTTGATATATTCCATGGTCAGATATTCATACAACAACATATTCTAGCGGCCATTATGTTTTTATAATAATTATCATAAATGCTGGCGATGGCTGGCAACTTTTTTTTTCCATAAAATTAGTTATTTTGTGTACTGCCTAAGCTGTAATTCAGTTTAAAAATAATTTCTACAGTTTTATTAAGGTTCATGGTTTAAAAATGGGATATAACTTTACAAGCAATTATTATTAATTTACACTAAGTCATGTTTCCCAATTAAATTCACTTGCTATGTTTTTAAAAAGAAGGGACAAGTAGATATTTATGGTACAACAATATGCCATCGATTGAACTTAACTTGTCTTGAACTATGAACTTGAACCTGGTTGGGAACCTACATCTTCTATTTTACACATTTACTGACCGTGTTGTGCTGATGCCATTGTTTTGTCACTTAATCACTCCTCTTCTTATCTCACAGTGCCAGTGATCACAGTATTTCTGTAGATATAAAAAAAAAACACAAAGACTGAAAATGCAGAAACATTTAGATAGGTTGTAGGTATACATTAACAATTAATTTAATGAGCTTATAAAATGACAATAGAGTACTTCATTTTTTTTAAAGACTTTATTTCTGACAGACGTCTACAGAAGTTCTTATTGAGAATTAACAGCGGTTTAGATGTTGATGTCTTATTGCAATTTTATTCTCCAGTAATTTTTATTTTTTTGCAACAATTCTGCATTGATGACAGACAAGTGATTGCATTAAAGTGGTTTGAACAAATCCTCTTTCTGTTTAGCTGACTTACTTGTGGAATTGAAACATTGAAAAGAAAGTAGCAGCTCAACTGATGTGATAACTCTCACTTGTGACAGTGACTCTGATGTGATCTGTGTGAGATTGTCCAAAACCTCTTATAAAATAAAAAGTTGAGAAATATAGACATAAACACTCATCATACAAACCTTAAAACTGGTTAAAATAAAATGTAATATTATCAAATACAAATAGTAAAAGAATCCAGCTGCTTGATTTATTCATGCTGCAATGCATGCTGGGAGCTATGAATGAGTTTTGTATGCTGGCATGAAACATTTCCCCATTGTTAAGTTTCTAATAAGCTGATTGTTGACGTCTGTGAGTGTCAAACTAACCATGTTGTGAATGAGATTAACTTCATGCTTAACTCATGTTTTAATTTTTCAACAAATCTGATTTTAACAATATGGTAATCGGGTCGCTGAACACACTAATAATATAGCCAGAGAAAATCTACTAAATTGATCAAGGGTGAACCCTTACTGAACAAAATTATATTGGAAAATACTGCAAAATATAATGCAAAATATGACATAATACTGTACATTTCCATATATGGGAAATGTATATACTAGTGCTTATATTTTTCAATATACTGCAATATATGCATTGACCATGCATGGCTATATATTAATATACATATAAAATGTGTGAAGACAAAAATAGCATTACATGTAATATTCAAAAAGTGTTATGCTTTATTGTGTACATATATTGCACATAGATGTTCCCAGATGTTCACACATACACTCACCTAAAGGATTATTAGGAACACCTGTTCAATTTCTCATTAATGCAATTATCTAATCAACCAATCACATGGCAGTTGCTTCAATGCATTTAGGGGTGTGGTCCTGGTCAAGACAATCTCCTGAACTCCAAACTGAATGTCAGAATGGGAAAGAAAGGTGATTTAAGCCATTTTGAGCGTGGCATGGTTGTTGGTGCCAGACGGGCCGGTCTGAGTATTTCACAATCTGCTCAGTTACTGGGATTTTCACACACAACCATTTATAGGGTTTACAAAGAATGGTGTGAAAAGGGAAAAAAATCCAGTATGCGGCAGTCCTGTGGGCGAAAATGCCTTGTTGATGCTAGAGGTCAGAGGAGAATGGGCCGACTGATTCAAGCTGATAGAAGAGCAACTTTGACTGAAATAACCACTCGTTATAACCGAGGTATGCAGCAAAGCATTTGTGAAGCCACAACACGCACAACCTTGAGGCGGATGGGCTACAACAGCAGAAGACCCCACCGGGTACCACTCATCTCCACTACAAATAGGAAAAAGAGGCTACAATTTGCAAGAGCTCACCAAAATTGGACAGTTGAAGACTGGAAAAATGTTGCCTGGTCTGATGAGTCTCGATTTCTGTTGAGACATTCGGATGGTAGAGTCAGAATTTGGCGTAAACAGAATGAGAACATGGATCCATCATGCCTTGTTACCACTGTGCAGGCTGGTGGTGGTGGTGTAATGGTGTGGGGGATGTTTTCTTGGCACACTTTAGACCCCTTAGTGCCAATTGGGCATCGTTTAAATGCCACGGCCTACCTGAGCATTGTTTCTGACCATGTCCATCCCTTTATGGCCACCATGTACCCATCCTCTGATGGCTACTTCCACCATGTCACAAAGCTCTAATCATTTCAAATTGGTTTCTTGAACATGACAATGAGTTCACTGTACTAAAATGGCCCCCACAGTCACCAGATCTCAACCCAATAGAGCATCTTTGGGATGTGGTGGAACGGGAGCTTCGTGCCCTGGATGTGCATCCCACAAATCTCCATCAACTGCAAGATGCTATCCTATCAATATGCGCCAACATTTCTAAAGAATGCTTTCAACACCTTGTTGAATCAATGCCACGTAGAATTAAGGCAGTTCTAAAGGCGAAAGGGGGTCAAACCAATATTAGTATATATATCACCTAATAATCCTTTAGGTGAGTGTATATACACACTAGTTCCCAGCATGCTTTGATACAAACATACATACATTATGATATATTAGTAAATATATTGTCACATGTTTTTTTAATACATGAAAAGTTGCAATTCCTTATGTATTAATCAATATATTGTAATATATTAACACAATATATTATTCAGCATATTTTACAATATACTGTTAAACCATTTAATATTTGATCATTCATATAGGGAAATATATATTTATTTAAGGGAAGAGCCCAACTACAGGAAACACTGAGCAAGACAATGGTGAATTCAAATGTGTGTTCCTCTTTCCTTCATATGGTAACTTCAGTCGTCACTAATGCTCACACTGAACACCATTAATGACACAGGGGATTGTACTGCGTATCATCAAACCTTAAGACATTTTAAGTTATACAATTAATGATCCTTAATATTTAAAGTACATTCGAAGAATGATGTTAAAAGAATGTTTTCTGCCAACATTATGAGAACATTTAAAGAATGTTCTACAAACAATGTAAATAATATTTGTGTGCTAACCTTTTGAGAACATTATTGAAGACCAGATAACGTTGAACAAACACTTTATTAATGTTACTGGAAGAATGTTTGTTTATAACTTTGAAAGAACTTTTAAGTTAGCCAAAGTTATAAGAACATTGAGTCAGTAATCAAGGAATTAAAGTTAGCCTAGAGAGGCTTTATGTTGTGAACCAAAGTACAGTGTTTAATAAAAAAGTAAGAATTAACAACAACAAAAACAAAAACAAAAACAACAACAAACCTTTACAAAACTAAGGCCTAGGAAAAACAAGATAACTTTGATGTCAGGTAACATAGTGATGTAGGCTAATGGTAATTAGTTGAAAAAAAAATTGACTCAATTATTTTTATGTTTCTTTCATGTTCCTTTATTGTAGTTATGTGTGACTTGTGTGTGAAAGTAGCCTATTACCTTGACAGGTAACCATGGGCGTCACTTTGATTTGTTATAAACGTAACTGATTAGACATAATTAAAAGACAATTTTATTTTATTCTTGTTGACCCTTTCAAATGATTAAATAAGGAGAACGGGTTCATTTAATAACTTTACGCCTGCCGCTCTCAGTCTCGAGATTATGTAAACAGGTTAAAGTGACGATGGTGTTTCAAAAAGGA